CTCAAGTTATTCACTTTGTGGGATGTAAAGAGTCCCACTCCCTCCTCTGTGTTCCAAGTTCCTTATGCAGGGTAATCACAGGCTCACAGGTGAAATAAAATAACATTTATTAGTATAAACAAAAATAAAAAGAATATTTAAGAGACCTTACAAACTCTGTTGAGCAGTCTTAATGGTCTTAGTAGCAAAACGCGTTTCGCCCCTTCAAGGGGCTTCCTCAGTTGCTGTAAATGTTCCCAAATTGTTCTTCGTTTAAAAAGCCTTTCATTGCTGCTTTTTTTCTCTTTCTCTCTGCATTGCCGGCTCGCCGGACTTCCGGTTTCCTGTCCTTGCGTTCCACCCTTGGAACGCACAGCCGTCGTGTATCACAGAAAGTGCCGATCTCTCATAACTTCCGGTTACTGCGTTCCACGATTGGAACGCAATGCAAAGTTCCCCTGAAGTCTCTTATTTGGAACGTTTTAACGTTCCCCTTTCTATGTCCAGTCTTTGTGTATACCAGCTCTATGTAGAGACATATTTGTATACAGAGTTTAAAACTTAAAGCAGTAAAAGGGAATATAGTAGCTTTTACATGATATAAGGAGAAAAAGTGCTAATACAAAATACAGGATGTATATAAAAGAAAAAGGGGAAAGAGAGAGAAAAAAGAAGAATTTATGTAAAAGGTACATGTCTAAAAATTTATCTATAAAATATATTTAAAAAAGATATAAATAATAATAAAATATACACCCCACTGATATATATCAGTGGTAAAAAACAGATATGCATAAAATCATCATCTATCTAAAAGGGCAATACTATAACTAAAATATATAAACCTGCATGGTATAACATATAGAAGTAGAGAGTAATCCTTTGCATAAGCACTAAAAATGACATATTTCAAAGTCGACATTTAGACCATACGGGGCTAGAGAATTAAACTCAAAGATAAACTTCATTTCTTCTTTTCCTAATTTTCTAATATAGTCTCCACCCCTCCAATCCCTTTTAACTTCCTTGATGGCACAGAAGAATAAATTACTGGGATCCTGATCATGCATTTCCTTAAAGTGGAGGGGAACACTATGTGTTTCTAGTCCGTTTCTAATGTTTCTAATGTGTTCTCCGATCCTTACTTTCAATGGTCTAATTGTTCTGCCTATATATAAAAGATCACATGGGCATTTCAAAATATATATGATACCTTTTGTGTGACAGGTAAGGTGGTCCTTTATGCAATAGGGTTTTTTTACAATGTGTCCTATATCCTTCAGGTGTCTTTTTTTACTTCTAGTTGTTCTACAGGGTAAACACATCCCACATCCATAAAAGCCTTTTAGATCCTCTAGAAAATGGCTGGGTTTTTTGGGGCTAAGGCAACTCTTAACTAAGATGTTCTTAAAATTCTTTGCACCTCTATAGATAATTTTGGGCTCCGGCTGTAAAATCTTATTAAGGATAGGATCATCTTGTAGCAAATGCCAGTGTTTTCTGATTATTTTCCTTATTTGTTTGTTCCGTCCATTGTAATTACAGATAAAGGGTATATTGTTACTGGTTCCTTGCTCTTTTTTAGATTTATATTTTATGAGTTCTTTTCTTGGTATTTCTTTCACTTCTTTCATGTCTCTTTCTAAAATTTCTTTGTTGTAACCTTTTTCTATAAATTGCTGTTCGATATATTTGGCCTGTTCTATATAATCGGATTCTTTTTTACAATTCCTTCGAATACTTAGAAATTGGCCTCTTGGTGCGTTCTCCAGCCACGGGTTATGGTGACATCTATTTCTTTCTATATACCCATTAGCATCCACTGGTTTAAAAAAATTTTTTGTGTTGATCTTATCATCCTCTATATATATATGCAGGTCTAAAAAATTTATTTTTTCTTCACTGATAGAACTCGTTAGGTGAATCCCCCAATCGTTTGAATTCAGATATTTAATAAAATCATTCAATTGATCATAGTTGCCTGTCCAAATAAAAAATATGTCATCTATGTAACGGCGATAGGCCACCAAGTATGCCCCCCACTCATGGCCCTGGGTGACGAAGGCTTCCTCCCAGAATGCCATGAATAGATTAGCGTAACTGGGGGCAATATCCTAAAATCCCAATTTTTTATCATCTCCCAAAAGTACATAAAAACATCACAGAGCCCCCCGGTAGACCCATAATATCAGGCATAGATTCTGTTTCTACGAGAGTGTCTGAATATATAGACACTCTCCTACAGCCCTTAGTTTTGGCAACTCCGTCGTACCTCAAGGATACAATTCATATGTTGCAAATTTTGGAAGATACGCCTTGGCAACAAGGTTACTTTTTAGTAACCTGCGATGTCACTTCCTTATATACCGTTATACCTCATGAGAAAGGGATGGCAGCAGTACGGCACTTTTTGTCCAAATCAGATTTTAAAAGTGAACAGATAGATTTTATTCTAGAGGGCATTTTTTTAATCTTGACCAACAATTTTTTTTGGTTTGAGGGTGAATTTTATCTCCAGATCTGTGGAACGGCGATGGGCACCAAGTTTGCCCCCAGTTACGCTAATCTATTCATGGCATTCTGGAAGGAAGCCTTCGTCACCCAGGGCCATGAGTGGGGGGCATACTTGGTGGCCTATCGCCGTTACATAGATGACATATTTTTTATTTGGACAGGCAACTATGATCAATTGAATGATTTTATTAAATATCTGAATTCAAACGATTGGGGGATTCACCTAACGAGTTCTATCAGTGAAGAAAAAATTAATTTTTAGACCTGCATATATATATAGAGGATGATAAGATCAACACAAAAAATTTTTTTAAACCAGTGGATGCTAATGGGTATATAGAAAGAAATAGTTGTCACCATAACC